TGGATTTGAAAGATTGGGTTTTTTTTTTTTTTTTTAGAGAATTTTTTTTTTTTTTTTTTTTTTTTTTTTGCTTATTGTGCACAACAAGCTCCTGCACAAGATATTCGCTGGGGGGGGGGAGGCGGGGAGGAGGAACTGTAGTAATGCCAATACTCCTTGAATATTATAAACCTGGCTTATCAGCCCGACGCAGAGCTGGAATTTGTCTCTTCCTGTGCTGCATCTCTGCTTTCTGAGAGGGGCGTTTAAATACAGGCTGGAGACGCTGCTTTTCCAGTGAGCTCTGCTGGGCTGTGACAGCAGCAGCGGGGCTGCTCCGGAGGCTTTATTTTGTATTTTATCTTTTTTTTTTGTTTGTTTGTTTTGCACTAATTCCTTCTCCAAAGAGGGAACTTCTCTGGGAGAAGGCTCCGAGACTGCATGTCCCACCAGTACCCAGGGAAGGAGGCGAAGGGGGACGCGGTTTGCTTCGTACCTGGCTCTCCTCTCTTCTCTGTCCTGATGGAGCCGGCGCCTTTTTGCTACCCCCGGCTCACCTTCCTGCGCTCGCCCTACGGCCAGTTTGGGGACAGTGCTGGGGGCTCTTCCCAGGATTTGGCCCAGTGGCCGCAGCGTTTGTCCCAGAGGTGGAGCAGGCCAGTGGATGGTGCGTGACCGGGGTTGGGGACTGGAGAGGGGGTGGCACGAGGTGGCAGAGAAATCCCAGCAAGAGTTGAGGAGGCTTTGGAGATGGTGGGTCGAGAGGCAGCTAGGACTCGGTGGGTGGGTTGATGTGGTTGTGTTGGTGCAAGTAGGACTTGGTGGATGAATTGGTGTGGTTGTGTCGGTGCAGGTAGGACTTGATGGATGAATTGGTGTGGTTGTGTCGGTGCAGGTAGGGCTCAGTGGGTTGGTGTGGTTGTGTCGGTGTAGGTAGGGCTCTGGATGAACTGGTGTGGTTGTGTCGGTGCAGGTAGGGCTCTGGATGAACTGGTGTGGTTGTGTCGGTGCAGGTAGGGCTCTGGATGAACTGGTGTGGTTGTGTCGGTGCAGGTAGGGCTCTGGATGAACTGGTGTGGTT